TCAATATCATTCAATGAAGTATCTATCTTAAGTTGTTTCGAAATCACGTCTACAAAATCTTCAAAACTTATATTTGGAGTAACTATTACAGCGTCTGCATTATAATCTACAAAGCTGTTGTCAACATTCCATCGGCCACCATACTGAATAAAAATTAGTAAATTTGCCATAGAAGTAGCTGAAATTAGGTCAAAACTCACTAATTCCTTGATTGATTGTGATTGCAGTTCGTAGTTCCTTCTACACAGAAATTGCAAAAGCTATATCTACACAGAAATTGCGAAGCTATATAGTGAAATTGATCGATTTTGAGTGAAATTTGGAGCTCATTTTGAGAATTTTTTGAGAGACAATGCCGTNTTTTTTCCTTACAAGATGTTCAATGCCTTAGCGAAATTTTTACTTTACTTATGATCTATTGCGAAAACTAGATCAAGCGCCGATCGCAACTAAAGCTCGAGCTATCAACCCCGTACTTGGGGAATGCCGTCCAAAAATAGACATGTTTGAATTATTAAACTTCGAGACCATAAGATCTTGAAAAGGTAGTCCTCGATTTTATAGGTCACGGCCACCCCACCGGGGGCTGACACTTCGAACAAGTTCGAAGTATAATCGAGAAACAAGCCCAAAGGGCAAATCTCAAGTTAAAGGCTACGGCCAAACTAGCACGGTTTGGAGACTTCTGAATTCCGTAATGAAATATGCCTTCAAATATCTTCATAAAACCGGTTAAAAAAGGCTACCCTTGGCAAAATTACAAAATTACAAAGGGTTTTGATAACATCAACCCTCAAAAATATTAAGGGGTACAAAATTGTTCGAACTCTCGAACAAGCTTATGTTAAGGCATAACAAAGTAAAGGGTTTCGATAACACTAATCCCCGAAAACCCTAACAGATTTATCTAGTGCTAAGGCGCAAACAAATGTTTATGATTAACTTTTTATGCCGAAAAGGGAGAAAAGCCATTCCTTTTAGGGCCATATCGGCTTAATTCAAGAGCCTAAGGGCCATTTTTGAGTTTGAGAAATCATCCTCACTCAACTAAAACCTAAGGGCCGTCCCACTTCGAGTTTGAGCAGATACTCACTCGATTATAAGGACTACAGTAGTCCGATTTCGATCAAACTGCCTAAGCTTCATGAAAATTTTCAAGACATGGTCAAAACGGAATTTGTATGGGGCAGAAATTGAAATAAAGACAAATCAAAGAGAAGAAAGATCTTTTATATATGAAAATATTTACAAGGATCGGTTAGGATCCTACATAAAAAATTAAATAAAGAAAACAATTCTAATTGCCTAATCCTCCCCGAGAGCCTCGTCTTCATCTTAACCGCCCTCGGAACCACTTATTTTCCCAGAATCATCATCGTCGAAAGAGAGCAACGCTTTAGCTTCAGCCTCAAGCTCTTTTGCACTCTCGATCTCGATAGCAAGGTCAAAACTACGAGCATGAATCTCCTCGAGATTATCTCTCTGAGACTGGCATTTGGCATGCTCGGCAACGCAGAATGCTCGAGCTTGAGCAGCATCAGAAATTTCTTTTGCTCGAGCTTGAGTGGCCTCATCATCGGATTGGTAGACAGTGGCGATCGCCTCAGCATTGACTTTAGCCCTCTCAACCTCGAATTTGGCTTTTGCCAGTTCGGTGACCAACCGAGCCTCAAGCTCTTCCATTTTCTTGGCTTGAGCTGGGCTTTCCTCCTTCATGCTTTGGAGCTGTCGTGCAGTCATTGACAGTGGGCTCGAGCATCTCTTTTTTCGAGGCAAGGCGATCCATGTTTAGTGTCCACCCCAAAGTCTCCGCCCTCATCATATTGGCCTCTTCACAGATCTGTTCGATCTTCTCGACCTTTTGCTGAACCTGCAGGATCGAAGTATTAGTCATCATCCCCGAACTGATACATCACACTTCTAAAAATAATTTCATTACCTGCTCAATCAGGTCAATTTGCTCTTTATGGGCTGTGGCCAATTCGACTCGGAGGACCTTGATCTCCTTTTCTTTTTACCCACTACGAAGTTTGAGGGAATATCTCTCCTCCGTGAGCCTCTTCAGATCGGCCTCACATCGGTTCAACTCTGCCCGGGATTTAGAAAACACTTTCTGATGAAGCGTCAAGGCCTATGAAGAAAGAAAGGAAATCAAGCAAGAGAAAACAAAGGCAAAAGTAGTATTGATAAAGGGAGCTAAGGCTTACCTGACTTAGGAGTCGATGAGCCTCATCGAAGATACTCGATGCATCACCTAGATCGGGATCATCTTCGACTACCCTGAAGCAACAGTGAAAAAGGTCCTTCCCTTCGTGGGTCATTCCCACATAGGGGGTCTCCATCGTCCGGGCCTCCTGAATTTTCCCCTCGGAAAATGTGGGGAGGGGAGGCGGATCATCTTCATTTTCCTCTTCTTCCTCCCGTAGTTGCTGAGCAACATCAGCGGTCAGGGTAGCGGTGTCCTTTTTCGACCTGCGAGCCTTGCTCTTCTTAGGCTTTGGAGTATCGGAGGGCGAGACCCTTTTCCTCTTCTTATCCTTTGCCGGCTTCGGGGCCTCCTCCTCCTCCTCATGACGGCAATGACTCTGAGGCCTGTATAAAAAGAAATTAAGTGAATGAGAAAGGAAACATTTCAGAAAAAGACCATCAAATACATGAAAAGAAGCTTACCATGATTTTTGGCCTCCCATCGGCCCCTTGCCATATCGCTCCACGAGCTCTCGACATATGAAAAGGTCAATGCAAGTTTCCGAACCTATCCCTCAAGGTTCGAAATTGCACCAGGCATTCAGGAAACCGCTGCATTATAGGAAAGAATATCGATGAGAAAAAGCAAAGGAAACAAGATAGTAAATGGAGGCCATGGGTGGGGTTTGTACTTACGCTTCATGTTCCATTCCTCAGGGAATGGCATCTTCTCGGTCGGGATTATATCGGAAGTCCTCACTCGGACAAACCGGCCCATCCATCCTCGATCCTTGTCCTCGTCTATGCTCGAGATAAACACCTTGGTAGCCCGACGCTAAAGCCTTATTAACCCACCTCGGTAGAGACGGGGGTTGTACATTCTGATGAGATGGTAGAGGGTGAAAGGCATCTCTTCGACCTTGCTCACGATGAATCGGAGCAGAATAACAATCCGCCAAAAGGAGGAATGGATTTGACCTAGGGTTACTCGGTATTAGCGAAAAAAGTCGATGATGACGGGATCGACAGGGCCCAGCGTGAAAGGGTGAGTGTAAATACTTAGAAACCCTTTCATGTTTGTAGTGATGTCCTCTTTGGGGGTTGGAATCACCATCTCTTTGTCTCCCCAGTTGCAATCCCTCTTCACCTGCTCGAGGTCGTCCTCAGTTATCAAGCATATATATCTCGACATTGGCTCATATCGGTCAGGGACCGACGATGTTTTCTCGACTTTGGAATCGGAGTAAGATCACACCCCTCCCCCTAGGAACACACTCCTCGAGGCATGGCTCCACCGGCGTTTTATCGCCTGCCGGCCGCGATGAAGAAGCTTTTTCCTTTTGAGGAACTGTTTTAGATATTTTTGCCATTTTTATTTGGATTCAGAGAAAGAGGAAGATGAGATTTGTTGTTTTTGGATAAGGTTGACAACAAGATTTGAAGAACTTGCAGAATTGGAAAACTTGAAGGAAGTAGAGTGCTTTGAAGATTAAGGGAAGTTTTAAAAGTAAAGTTTGAAAAAATTGTGAGGAAGACCTATTTATAATGTTTCCTATGACGGTTCATAGACATTCGTGGTCGACCATCAACTGATGCTCATTAATGATTTTAAGAACTGTACCGACGCGACGCTTCGGTCGCTTATGTCACAAGGGTGACGTCATAACTGGTCGAGGTATAAAACCGAAGGCTCAGTTCATTTCTTCTTATTACACTCCAAGAAACGAGGGGGCTATCTGTCTACGGTTAAAACAGGGCTTGCCCGATTTTGCCATTTAATCGAGACCAGGGAATCTTATCGAGGGTCAGACTCATAATGGATCAGGTCAGAGCACGAAGATAAGGTATCGAGTTCGAGAATCGAGGTGCTCGTCGAGATCGAGGCCAACAACGGTCGACACCATATATGACTGACTTCGAACGAAGCGCAATAACGGAAATGGGAGATATCCGTAGCCGGTCGAAGATCACGATGGAAATTCCGAAACAGATCAAATCAAGGGCGGTTGTTTAGGCTAATCATGAAATTTACTTCTGTAGTTAGAGTTATACCAAAATTAGGATTCCTTTACTATATAAAGAGGAGTCCCCATCATTTGTAAGGATATTACATTCACACACATCAGAGCAATACAATACCCTCTACAGTTACTCTTTAATTCACATATTCTTGCTCATCAGTTGTTTTGTTTCTTAACTATTTTGGAAACCGATTAGTTCGAGGATATCAAGTTCGAGGGTTGGATCGCGTTCCAAGACTAGTTTGCTTTATTTTATTATTAACTTCTATCACTAATCTTTGCATTTATCAATTGGTATTAGGTGAAATTATGTATCCTTAAAATCACATTATAAGTTTAATTGTTATCCAGATATTAGGACAAACAATTTGATTTGTTGATAGAGTGATTTTATTTTTGTAGATCTCCCAAAGACACGTAATTACATATATTGTTTTACAAGAAAATCTATCTTAAATAATATTTCGAGAATAATAGATATTTACACGAAGCGTACATTAATCTAACGTTGTAAAAAGATCAAGAGCAAATTTGCTGGATGTAGTACACTTAAACTTGGAGAGACCAAAATTAAAGGGCTATTATAACAAAATTTTGAAGACTGGAACACATAAACACATCTTAATCTTTTCTATTTTCTTTTGTCCTTTTCCTTCTCTATGGATGAAGGTCTGTAATAGCGAGGGAGGAAAAGGTAAAAGATGGGAGATTATGTGATATGATTATAAATTGAAGTATACTTAAATGTAGTTCAACATTGAGCAACCTTTAATATAAATTAATCCCATTATTCCCATATACAGGTTCTTCACTCTTCAGAAAGGTATTTTATCAGTGATATACTGGAATAAGGCAAACGGAGCTTTGACTAGATCAAGTGCCACTGTATTTGCTATTTCAGCTTTTGATAGAGATGGGATAGGCACTGCGTGGCCTAGACAAATCTCATATTGTAATGACTACTAAGTCTTTATGTTATGAATAAATGTCTTTATTTACCAAAAAAAAAAAAAACCAAGATATTTACGAAGACGCAGCAGGGGATGCATGTCAACATTAACCTGCACCATCCACATGACGAAAATATATCAATAAGCTACAAAAGAAGCTTATACATTTAATTAACATAAAAAATGCTTTCTTCCAACAACTTTGTTTGACATATCTAGCACAATAAGCTACTTAGGAATTAGTCAGACTAATAAACACTCTTAAAGTGATTAGCAGTTTAGAAGTACTTTTCATATAGGTGTATAAATCTTCACCTCTAAAACATACAAATAGTAGGCCAGGGACATATATAGTACAATAAACTAGTTTGTTTACGTAGCTTATAGCTCATTCACGATAAACATAGACCAGTAACCTGTCCAAATAAAAATGTTATGATAATGAACATGAGGTTATAGGTCCGATTAATACTCGTGACTCGCGTCCATTGGGATTTTGCTCTCGGAAGATACAGGATAGCTGTTAATAAGGAACTTTTTCAAAATATGTTTCATAAGAAAAACAAAAATAAATACATAAAATTGTTCTATTATTGTATACGATTGAAACCGGGTTCGTCCATTATGTGACCAGCCGAGGCTGAAACGTGACAGGTCAGAGCTCGAGCCCGGATTATATCGAACCAAGGTACGAAGTGAAATTGTTGAGCTCGTGACTCCAGGAATGAACAAGATCGTGGGTACTTGTTGAGCCAAATAACGGAAGGCCAAAATATCCGGGATCGGTTTGAGATCACGGCGGAAATCTCGGCACATATCAAGGAAAGGCCGATTAATTAGCAAATCATGATATTGGTTACCTTTTATAGAATTGTATCAAGAGTTGGACTCCCCTACTATATAAAGAGAGGTTTGATCATCTATAAAATACACTGTAATACGCACGAAAAAGCAATACACTGTTATTTCTAGTTCATATCATCTAGTAATTCTGTTCTAACATCTGTTGAGGCATTTATTGTATCACGACCGAAACCGATGGGCCACAACGGGCACCCGGTGCCTTACCCAATCGAGTACCAACGTAACATATTTTTTTCTTCTTATCATACCATCATGGGTAAATGGGCGAGAAGGGGCGTCATTAGATAACCAGAATAAAACAAAAGGGAATACTCGACATATAACGACCCAACATGTAATACAAACACATACATATGACATACAGGACTATAAGACCAAAATGATCACTAGTACACTGAACATAGGCCGAAAAGGCCATACTAATACGAATAAATTACCGAGTATGTAAGGCATGAAAGTAGCATATAAAAGACATGAAAGAAACATGAAGTAAGGAACTCAACCTGTAAGTCTAAATAGCTCTGTGAATCATGGCATTTATAATGTCATGCATATGCGTATAAATATCATATCATGCATAGCTATATGCGTACATAACATCATCAAGCCTCTGAGGGCATCACATCATATCATCTCGGCCTCTGTAGGCGAAATCATCAACGTATACCAGCTGATCAGGTGGTGGTGCGTATATAACGCCATAACCTTTCCCCATACACCATATACATATACTATATGCATATATAACGCCTTTAGATCATGGGTCAATATACATGTATAAATGAATGCAATGCATAATGAAGTAAGTCAATAAGATCTCTCAAAATATCATGAGACCCATGAATAGACAATATGGTAGTAGGACATATGGGAAGTCAAGAACATAGGCAACCCTAGTACTTCTAATAATAGAATCATTTATGAAAGTTGCGTGCTTGCTCGTTTCGTGGTGTCATATGGATCACGCCAAAAGGAAGAAGGATAGCCGTAACATACCTCAAGTCGTCAATGCCACTCAACAACAAGCTTATGACAACTAGCGCGCCAACCCTATAACAAAGAAATACATGTAGAACTTAGATGGCGCTAGTATATCACGTATCTCAAACGATAATTCGATTCTAAAATAAAACGAGCAGCATTTCCCCTGATTTTATTGCTCCCTCAAGCCTACTATTGGTAAGATACAACCACAATATAATCAGCAACTCAAAACTAACCTCATTACAATTCGGGACCTTCAATACAACAAAAACCACAAATATATCATACCACACCCAATCAACAAGTTATCAATTAGCCTGAAACTAAAACGACGAGCGACCAACCTACTACCCCACCACATTTGGCGTTTCTCCATGCCCTTTTGTCCTTCCAAACTCTATAAATCAGCAGCACAATAGGCCAAAACAAGTGGACTACAAAATAGTCCACTAAAAGTGGAATAAATCGAACTCACGGCTTTCAATCACCGTCCCGTGAGTTTTAACTATTAGGAAACCAATTTATCAACCTTCCCTGATATTTAAACACTTAAATACATAAATAATATGTTTTCTTAACTATGATGTACCTTCCAAAACTCAAACTAGAAAGAAAAAGAGAGGCGGTATAATGATACTTACGTCGTAGGGATCACTCTAATATTATCGCTTCTCGATTTCGTACCCGGGATGTTAATCTTCTTTGAAACCCTATTAGAGAGATCAAGGATGGATTTTATGGGTGTTCTCTGGTCGTTTTCTATGTAAAATGAAGAGAGAGAGAGAGAGAGAGAGAGAGAGAGAGAGAGAGAGAGAGACGACTTAAGACCTATATATCAACTTTTGAAAAGTCAAAGAGGTGCTAGCTTGGTACCCTAGCATTGGCCCTTCTTCCGATGCTTATATCATTTTATCTGGATGTTGTATGAATGAACAGTTAAGAGTGTTGGAAACTACATTCCAAGACCTTCAATTTAGTATATAAATATGTCTATAAAATACCTCATATAACACACAAAATGTATTGCTCAAAAAGCTTCAATGCCACACCTACTTGGAACCTATGATGTCTGCGCAGTCTCGCGAAACTGCAACTATCTCTCTACTTCTAGGTCGTATCAAAAAAAGGTTTAATGTGTAAGAAACTAGACTCATATATCTTCAATTTGATATGTGTATCATCCCGTAATTCCAAGTATTTTTGGAGAAAAGCTCCACTACATTTGACCTAATGTTTAGCACATTTATGAATGTAACTTGTGATGACGTTTGCCAACTTTTGTTCGACAACTCGCTTGACTTCAAAACGTAACACACGACTATCATAAGCCTTAAATAACTCATAACATAACCTACTTATCATGTTAAGAACCCTAGTCTCGTCCCAAAGTGCATGTTATAACATTCCAAACTTATCGACTTTCGATGAAACTTATTTTTCGTTTAGCTACTAAGCTTTCCAACCCTCTTGGTACTTGTTATTCATGATCTTAAAGATTTGTAAACTCCAAAGTAACATGATTAGCTTACTTTATGTACTTTCAAAGATGATCTTGTTTCTGAGCTTACATTAATTGACTTACAAATACTCTCACATACGAAGATATGGAATGTAACATCTTGGCTCGAGGGTGATCAAACTCAAAGGCTAAGGCTGTTCAATTTGTATGGTTTGCATTTATCTTCTTATCACTAATTTCAATATTAATCTGCTTACTAAATTTGTATCAAGTTATATCAATTGTTATCCGGTTATGAGGGTCAACAGTTTGGCGCCCACCGTGGGGCTAAGCATAATAGTGGTTACTTGGTACAAACTTTCATAACACATACACTTGTTCCGTGGAGTATCTTTGATTCCAGGACCAAAATGTCGAACTCCAGTCAGTATACCTACACGCTAACAACGATTTCGGCCACCACGACAAAAATGATAACATAGCACCAGGGAACGATGTACCCCCGGTCAATCTCGATGGAGTCCCTACTGTAGATCTAATCGATGTTAACTCACATGTAGACATAAACACAAATTTGGCCGCTGATCCCGAGGGCAGTGTTTTTAGGGATGTTCGATCAGCCGCTCAAAGCACACAATAGCGGCAAAGATGGCAGAATCAACCTGCGGGTGATATTCGAAATGTTGTAGGCTCAATAAGCAGCGATAGCCCAGCTCTAGAACCAGAATCGCCCGCCGAGTAGGATTGAGCCCGAGCTGTTCCAAGAAGTTGTTCACAGAGTTGAATCGGTCTCAAGGGGCTCGAACGATAAAGAATCAGGGACCAATCCTATAATCATGAAGAAGCTCGAGGAACTGACAAAACGAATTGAGTCAGGGGAAAAGAAGATTGAGGCAACTGATAAGAAGATGGAAACTTATAATTCCAGGGTCGATCAAATCCCGGAAGCACCGCCGACATTGAAGGGCCTAGATTCCAAAAAGCTCATGCAAAAACCTTTTCCCCCAAGCGCAGCTCCAAAGCCGATCCCCAAGAAATTCCGCATGCCCGAGATTTCTAAGTACAATGGAACGACCTATTCGAACGAGCATGTCACCTCTTACACATGTGCAATCAAAGGGAATGATCTAGAGGATGACGACATCGAATCTGTCTTGCTAAAGAAATTCGGAGAGACCCTGTCAAAGGGAGCTATGATATGATACCACAATTTACCACCTAATTCTATTGACTCATTATTTATGCTTGCAGATTCTTTCATAAAGGCACACGCTGGGGCCATCAAGGTTGAGACCAGGAAGTCGGACCATTTCAAGGTAAGGCAGAAGGACAACGAAATGCTCAGAAAATTCATGTCTCGATTCTAAATAAAATGGATGGACCTGCCACTGGTCGATAATGATTGGGTTGTTCAAGCTTTCACCCAAGGACTCAATGTTCGGATCTCGGTGGCTGCGCAAGAGTTGAAGCAGAATCTGATAGAATACCTGGCTATTACTTGGGTCGATATGCATAATCGATAACAATCAAAGAATAGGGTCGAAGATGATCAACTTGGGGCTCCTTCCGGGTCCATTTATACTATCAGACCCGTTGATAGAATCAAGAGGGATATTGACCGAGAATCGAGGTTAAACAGAGATCGATACCAGCCATATAATAGAGACCGCAGGAGCAACGGATCTGGGCAAAATTCTGTATAAAATGAAAGGAGAAGTGAACGAGGCCAGAGCTCTCGAGGGCTCACGTGAAATAATGGCTTCGACATGCCTATCGGACCTAAAGAAGCACCACACGATTATCAGAATACAACTTTAATGTTGATGCAGTTTCTATCGTATCGGCTATCGGACGCATCAAAGATACCAAATGGCCTCGACCTTTACAAACCGATCCAGCCCAAAGAGATCCCAACCAAATGTGAAAATATCATGGCACTCATGGCCACAAAACGGAGGATTGTCGATAATTGAGAGAAGAAGTAGCCCGATTATTCAGTAACGGGCACCTTCGGGAATTTCTGAGCGACCGAGCCAAGAGTTATTTTAGAAACATGGATTCCAATAAACATAACGGGCAAGAAGAACCTCAACACGTCATTTCTATGATCATCGGAGGGGTCAATGTTCCTCAAGGTCCAATTTAAAGCGCACCAAAGTATCAATCACGAGGGAGAAAAGGACTCGAGATTACATACTAGAAGGAACTTTATCTTTCAACGTCTAGGATGCAGAAGCAATCATGCAGACCCATAATGATGCACTGGTAATATATGTACTCGTGAATAAAACTCGAGCTAAACGTGTGTTAATTGATCCAGGTAGCTCGGCCAACATCATTCGATTAAGGGTCATAGAGCAACTCGGCCTACAGGACCAAATCGTGCCTGCAACCCGAGTGCTAAACGGATTCAACATGGCTTGAGAAACTACTAAGTGAGAAATAATGCTACCGGTAAACGCGGCCGGAACCACCTAGGAGACCAAGTTTTATGTGATCGAAGAGGACATGAGGTACAACGCCGTGTTCGGGAGACCACAGATTCACAACATGAGGGTTGTGCCCTCGACCCGTCACCGGGTATTAAAATTCCCAACACCAGAGGGGATTAAAAAGATCTATTGGGAGCAACCTGTCACAAAGGAGATGTTTTTCATCGATGAAGTAATTCCGATATCAACACTCTCATCGACAAAGGAGCCAGGATCAAAAGCAAAACCGGAAGCCAAATAGCAATCACCGATGCTAGTCTCGACCCAACCGGACAAGCAGGGGACTGACAAAGATGATGATTACGGGGTTCCTTGATCCTTTATAGTTCTCTATGGTTCCAACTCTACCAAATCAATGGTTGAAGATCTGGAGCAGGTCATACTGATCGAACATCTGCCCGATCAAAAGGTATACCTGGGCACAGAGTTAACTCCCCAGCTCAGGAAAAAACTCATTCAATTTCTTATAGCTAACATGGATTGTTTTGCTTGGTCCCATCTTGATATGACAAGTATCCCACCGGATATCACCACTCACAAACTGAGTCTGGACCCGAAATTCCATCCGGTCAAGCAGAAAAGGAGACCCCAGTCTGAGATCAAGCATGCTTTCATCAAGGTTGAGGTAACTAAACTCCTTAAAATAGGGTCCATCCGGGAGGTCAAATACCCAAAATGGTTAGCAAACGTAGTAGTAGTCCCTAAAAAAGGGAACAAACTGGGAATGTGTGTGGACGATAAGGATTTAAATAAGGCATGCCCCAAGGACTCTTTCCGTTTGCCTATTATTGACCGCATGATCGATGCCACGGCCGACCACGAGATCCTCTATTTTCTTGATGCCTACTCCGGGTACAACCAAATACGAATAAACCTAGATGATCAAGAAAAGACCTCCTTCATCACTATGTATGGCACATACTACTATAACGTAATGCCATTTGGATTAAAAAATACCGGTGCCACTTACCAACGCCTAGTAAACTGAATGTTCGAAGAACAAATAGGGAAATCCATGAAAGTTTACACTGACGATATGTTAGCTAAGTCCCTGCGAGCAGAGGACCATTTAAAGCATTTGCAAGAAACCTTCAGTATATTGAAGAAGTACAACA